TACCCCATCGCAGCCTGCATCACACTTATCCATCGTTCTCAGTGGCCTAAGCACCATTCAGGCAAGACTCCTCTTGTTCACCACTTGCTGCCAGTGCCCAGAACAGGGCCAGACCCATGTCAAACATCCACAACAATCCATAGTTCTGTGAAGCCGTCTTTCTCAACCTCCATGTCTCCCCACCCCACACACAGTTAATCCCTCCTCCTTTTATTCCATCCTCTCTGCCACCCCATGCCACTTAGGACACTACTGTCCTTGTGGGCAGTGACTTGTATTTTTTATCCTGGTCCCCTGGCACCTACACAGTGTGAGATACTAGTTTAGCTGCTTAGCATTCAGCAGTGAACCTAGGAAAAAAAAAAAAAAAAAAAATCCCTGTCCTCAGGAAGCATACATTGTGATTACGGGAGGAGAGGAACAGATCGACAGATCGAAAATAAGTAAAATGTAGAGCATGTTAGAAAGTGCCGGGCGCGGTGGCTCAAGCCTGTAATCCCAGCACTTTGGGAGGCTGAGGCGGGTGGATCACGAGGTCAAGAGATCGAGACCATCCTGGTCAACATGGTGAAACCCCATCTCTACTAAAAATACGAAAAATTAGCTGGGCATGGTGGCGTGTGCCTATAATCCCAGCTACTCAGGAGGCTGAGGCAGGAGAATTGCCTGAACCCAGGAGGCGGAGGAGGCGTAGGTTGCGGTGAGCCGAGATCGCGCCATTGCACTCCAGGCCTGGATAACAAGAGTGAAACTCCGTCTCAAAAAAAAAAAAAAAGAAAAAGAAAAAGAAAATGCCGGGCGTGGTGGCTCAAGCCTGTAATCCCAGCACTTTGGGAGGCCGAGGCGGGTGGATCACAAAGTCAAGAGATCAAGACCATCCTGGTCAACATGGTGAAACCCCGTCTCTACTAAAAATACAAAAAATTAGCTGGGCATGGTGGCACGTGCCTGTAATCCCAGCTCCTCAGGAGGCTGAGGCAGGAGAATTGCCTGAACCCAGGAGGCGGAGGTTTCGGTGAGCCAAGATCGCGCCATTGCACTCCAGCTTGGGTAACAAGAACGAAACTCCGTCTCAAAAAAGAAAAAAAAAAAGAAAAGAAAAAAGAAAAAAAAAGAAAATGACAGGTGTAGGCTGGGCAAGATGGCTCACGCCTGTAATCCCAGCATTTTAGAAGGCTGAGGTGAGTCGGGTGGATCACCTGAGGTCAGGAGTTTAAGACCAGCCTGGCCAACATGGTAAAACCCCGTCTCTACTAAAAATACAAAAAGTTAGCCAGGTGTGGTGGCAGGCACCTGTAATCCCAGCTACTTGGGAGGCTGAGGCGGAGAATCGCTTGAACCTGGGAGTTGGAGGTTGTGGTGAGCTGAGATCAAGCCACTGCACTGGGTGACAGAGCGAGAATCTGCCTAAAAAAAAAAAAAAAAAAAGAAAGTGACAAGTATTGGCCAGGCATGGTGGCTCACGCCTGTAATCCCAGCACTTTGGGAGTCCAAGGCAGGTGGATCACTTGAGGTCAGGAGTTTGAGACCAGCCTGACCAACATGATGAAACCCTGTCTCTATTAATACAAAAACTTGGGCCAGGCGCAGTGGCTCACACCTGTAATACCAGCATGTTGGGAGGCTGAGGCGGGTGGATCGCCTGAGATCAGGAGTTCAAGACCAGCCTGACCAACATGGAGAAATCCCGTTTCTACTAAAAATACAAAATTAGCCAGGCATAGTGACACATGCCTGTAATCCCAGCTACTCAGGAGGCTGAGGCAGGAGACTTTTGAATCCGGGAGGTAGAGGTTTCGGTGAGCCAAGATCGTGCCATTGCACTCCAGCCTGGGCAGCAAGAGTGAAACTCTGTCTCAAACAAAACAAAACAAAACAAAACAAAACAAAAAAAGAGTACAAAAAATTGGCCTTCTTGCTGTGGATTTCCTCCACAGCAAGGAGGATGGTGGCTCATGCTTGTAGTCCCAGCACTTTGGGAGACCGAGGCAAGCAGATCATGAGGTCAGGAGTTTTAAGACCAGCCTGTCCAATATGGTGAAACCCTGTGTCTACTAAAAAATACAAAAATTAGCTGGGCATGGTGGCCCATGCCTGTAGTCCCTGCTACTTGGGAGGCTGAGGCAGGAGAATGGCTTGGACCTGGGAGGCAGAGGTTGCATGCAGTGAGCTGAGGTCGCACCACGGTACTCCAGCCTGGGCAACAGAGTAAGACTCCATTTGAAAAAAACATTAGCTGGGCATGGTGGTGAGGGCCTGTAGTCCCAGCTCCTCGGGAGGCTGAGGCACAAGAATTGCTTGAACCCACCGGGCAGAGGTGGCAATGAGCCACTGCCCTCCAGCCTGGGCGACGGAGTAAGACCCTGTCTCAAAAAAAAAAAAGGAAAAAGAAAGTGATAGTGTTGAAGATAAGAATAGAGAGCAGGGAAGGGGGATAGGAAGAGTGGGAGGTAGGGTTGTGGGAAAGCCTTTACAGTATCCAGTATGAGGGAACAGACCTCTAGACTTGCACTGGCGGACAAAGGTCTTGAGGCTGGAGGGGAGGAGCCTGCCTGCGATCAAGTTACAGCAAGGAGGATGGTGTGGCTGGAGAGGTGGTGAGCACAGGGGGTGGTGTTGAAGGCCAGGTCAGAGGTAAAACAAACCTACAGATCAGATAGGCCTGTGGGTCACAGTAAGGACTTTGACTTTTGCTCTGACATAGGAGCTGCTGGTGGGTTTCTAGCAGAGAAGTGGCGTGATCTCATTTTAACAGGATCAATCTGCCTGCTGTATGGAAGAAAACACTAAAGGAGGGCTAGGAGAGAAAGAGATCAGCGAGGAGGCTACTGCACCAATCCAGATAAGAGGTGACAGTGCTTGGACCAAGGCCATAGTGGGAAAGTGGAGGGTGAAAGTGCTGAGCATGAAGAGTAGGAGATGACTCTACATTTTTTTGTTGTTTTAAATAGAGATGGAGGGCTTGTTATGCTGGCCAGATTGGTCTTAAACTCCTGGCCTCAAGCCATCCTCCCACCTCAATCTGTCAAACTGCTGGGATTACAGGCATGAGCCACCATGCTCAGCCTCTACATTTTTGACCTGGGCAACAAGAAGGATGGAGCTGCTGCTAGGAACTGAGATGAGGAAGACGATGGGAGGAGAAAGATTGATAGGAAAGATCGGGATACATTTGTCTGCTAGACAGCTAATGGAACTGGAGCATAGGTGGCTGGATACACAAGTCCAGGGTTCAGGAAAGATGATCTCTAGGCTGAAAGTATACATATATGCATCATCAGTATAGTGATGCTTTTTTTTTTTTTTTTTTTTTTTTGAGGCGGAGTCTCGATGTGTCGCCAGGCTGGAGTGCAGTAGCGTCATCTCGGCTCACTGCAACCTCTGCCTCCCAGGTTCAAGCAATTCTCCTGCCTTAGCCTCCCTAGTAGCTGGGACTACAGGTGTGTGCCGCCACGTCCAGCTAATTTTTTGTATTTTAGTACAGGCGGGTTTCACCATGTTGGCCATTGTGACCCACCTGCCTCGGCCTCTCTTCCTCTTTAAAGCCTTAAGGACCAGATGAGATCACCAAAGGAAGCAAGTGTTTCAAGGAAGAGGGAGTGATCCACTAAGTCAAACGCTGCTGATAGGCCACGTGAAGATGGGGGGTGCAATGAATGAATAAACGCCAGGCCTGTGAGATCTGCAAAGTACCAGTGATTATTGAGGGTTAACTGACAACAGGTGCAGGGACAAGATGGCTCTAAGTCACAGGAGCACTTAGCAGGCGTCCCCAAACTTTTTACACAGGGGGCCAGTTCACTGTCCCTCAGACCGTTGGAGGGCCGCGACATACTGTGCTGCTCTCACTGACCACCAATGAAAGAGGTGCCCCTTCCTGAAGTGCGGCGGGGGCCGGATAAATGGCCTCAGGGGGCCGCATGCGGCCCGCGGGCCGTAGTTTGGGGACGCCTGACTTAGAGACACAGGGAAGGGAAGAACTATGGCATCCTGGAGTTGGCAGGGACCTTAACAAGGTCATTGAATCGGTACTCTTCTCCCCATCCTAGGCTGATAGTTGAACCCCCCTGCCTGTAGAACAAGAAATATTTGCGGGATACTGAGGCAGACAGTCTGGCTAGATAGGTTGAAAAAGGTACCGTTAAAGAATGAGAGAAAAAGTAGTTCAGTAAATGCTGGACAGCAGAGGCAGGGTATGAGGGTGGAGATGACCTTCCGAAGTCAAAAAACCAAGGTTCAGGCCCTGCATCTGCTGCCCGCTAGCCTCCTGTCCTTGGGCAAATCACTTCATCTCCCCCAGCCTCAGTTTCCCCATGCGGCGACGTCTAAATATGGTAGTGCTGAATATGGTAGACAGTAAGTTCCCTGCCTGGGTTGGTTACTCCAAGAGCAAGGGAAGGAGGCCAAGAGAAGCCCTTGGTTTGGGACAGCAGTGGAAATGGGAATGAGGAGCAACTATGATCTCCGCGGGTCGGCTGGCGCAGCATGTGGACAAGCGAACCAGGATCCAGGCCAGGACCTGGGCTGGAATGGACTGGGCTCGGGTGGCAAGGGGGCCATCCGCAAAGACCGTAGCCCTGAATCTGCCTCCCCTGAACCTGGAACGGAGATGGCGGTCACACAGAGGCAGCAACAGGGCAAAGAAATAGAGACGCCGAGGCAGAGAGACCAGGAGAGTCAGAGACAGGGAGGCTAAGACACAGACTCAGCAACAGGCGGCCTCACGGGGGCCCTGCGGCGACCCGGAGAGGGCGAGGCCCCGGGACACAGACCCCGGCCGAGCAGAGCCCCCGCGCGGCGCAGGGCCCTGGCGCGCGGGCGCAGGGTCCCCGATGGGGCCCGACTGGCCGCGCTCGCCTGGGCCCCGCTCGGGGCCGCTCGCTCAAGATGGCGTTGGAGGGGCGGGCGAGGCTGCAGCGGCCCCGGCCCCCGCGCGGGCCCCAACTCGGGCCCGGGCCCCCGAGGCCGCGCCCCCGCCCGCGGCGCCGCGCCTCCCCAGGCCACTGACGCCCGGCGCGCCCTCCTCCCCCGGCAGCAGCGGCCAAGGCGCGGGGAAGCGGCGGTGGCGGCGGCGGCGGCCCGAACCCAGCCCCATGGCGTGGGGGGACGCCGGCAGCGGCCCCGGGCTCCTCGCGCTGACCTTCTGCCTGCTAGCCGTGCGCGGTAAGGGCCGGCGCCGGGAGAGGCGGGAGCGGCTGCGGCGAGCGGGTGTGCCAGCGCCATGGACTGCGTTGGGCTGCGGGGCTGGCCGGAGCCCGGGTCCGGAGCTAGTGCGGGGACTCTGTGCACTCGGTGCCTACGCGGGGGTCTGCGATCTGCGGCGAGGCGGGAGGCGAGGGGGAGGTAGGGGGGCGCGTTTGCGGCGGGTGCTTGTCCGCAGCGGGTGTCTTTGGTTCGCAGAGTCTGAGTCGTATGTGAGGGATGTGTGTGTGTGTGTGTGTGTGTGTGTGTGTGTGTGTGTGTGTTTTGGGACTGCTCCTGCCGTGTCCGCAGTGCGTGCCACGGTCGCGGCGTGGCATCGGCGGGGTGGGTGGCTGCGGTGTCGGTGGCTTTTGCGGGGCTGGCTCAGCCTTGCCTGCGCGTGTCTCGGGTTAAGGGTGTGTGTGAAAGAGGATGGGACTGGGGTTCTGTGTCTGCACCTCCATTTGGGTCGGGTGCGTGTGCAATTGTGTTTATGGGGCTGAGCTAATATTTGGCCTTGGCATTTGGGAAGCGTCCTTGCCCGTAGTGGGGGACAGAGCGATAGATTCCGATTGACTTGTAGGGGGAGGTGATAAAACAACACTCAACTTTGCCCAGTGGGTGTGGTCCCTGGGGCCGGCAGGAGAGGGGTAGGGGAAGGTGTTGCTCCCCAAAACCTGTGGCCCGCCGTGGACTGGGGGAGGGGGCAGGAAACCATTTGCTTTCGTGGACATGTCCAGCGCTCGTTCTCAGGATGGGACGCGTGTCACCTCGGCCCCACCCCCAGGGGCCAACCAGGGAAGCGTGGACGAGGTCAGCAGGGCCTCATCGAGTCCCCAGCCGAGTGTGGAGTGGGTACCGGCTAAGTCAGAGTTGTCGAAGCTGGAGAAAGGGCTGAGGAGGGGATAACGGAGTCCCCAAGGATGTGTGTCTAGGGCTCCCTCTTCCACCCACAGCTCTGTCGCTTCCTGTCCGGTGTGCATTTTGGGGGCAGCCCAAGGGGAGTGTAGGTGGCAGGGCTGGGAGGGGGATGGGCTTGCCGCTTTGTTCGCCTAGTTCTCGCCTTCCCCGCGGAGGGGGGAGCTGAGGATGTGTCCGGGGAGAGTCGGGAGGGACTTGGAGGTGGGGGTGGGGAGGGGGATTTCGCTCCAGCTGCCGCGGCTTTCCAGAGACTCAGCCAGGCCACGTGGGAGGGAGGCGGGGGAAAGGAGCCTTCGCCTGGCCAGCCCCAGGCCCATCTCCAGGAAAACCAAACAGCGGGTGGGAAAGTGCCGGGAACTGCTCGGACCCCTTCTGTCCCTACAAAGACACGCCCCTTTCCAGCCCCAACCGCGGAGTAGGCTGGAGGCTGACTCGGGGCTGGGTCTCGGCTGCTGGGCAGTGGGAGCTGGGGGCCTTGGCTTGTCAGGTGAAAGGGGCGGGGAAGTGTCAGAGAAGCGTCCATCCTCCCGGAGCTCAGAGGATTAAGGAATAGTTCTCCTGCCCCACCTTCCGCTCTTCCTAGGGCTCCTGGAACGAGCTCGGGGTCACCCAGCAAAGCGGCTTCAGGGCTGGGAACCGCAGCGGCGCATTATCCAATAGCTTTGGGGCCTCCCGCGAGGGGCTCAGCTTCCCTGGCCTCTCCCTGCCCCGGAGCGCACAAAGTAGGCGAGGGCCCGAGTTGCTGCGTCTCTGGGCTCCAGTGTGAGTCGCTGTAACAGCTTGTCCTGGTCCTCCAAAGCTCGGCAGTCCTGGAGACACTCCAGTTGAATATCTAGCCACCCAGATCTGTACCGAGGTCATTCATTAATTCAACAAATATTTATGGAGCATCTTGTATAGGCTAGCTTGTGCCTGGTGCCTAGACTATAGTAAATAAGGAGGCAGACCTGGTCCCTGGCGCAAAGCTTTCAGTCCCATGGAGGGAGAAACTGACAAGTCCCCCTGCAGTGCCGGGGTAGACGCAGCGAGGAGGGGCTCCTACACCGGTCTGGGAAGGTCAGCAAAGGCTTCCTGAAGAAAATGATGAGTGGTAGAGCTCAACATGGAGTTAGCGGTGTAGAAGGATGATGATGGGGAAAGTTTTCCAGAGAAAAGCGTGTGCAGACGTTCAGAGGTGATTTCGTTTAGATCATTGGATTAAACTAAATCTAGCTGGAGTTTAGGGTACGAGGGGTGGGTGTGGGGCAGGTGGGGGAAAGATAGAAAGGGGTCAGGGAGTATCAAGAGAAGAGGCGGAAGAGAGGAACTAGATTTATCTCACAAAGGACTTTACAGGGCCCACCAAGATTTCTGGCCTGACAGCCCCCGTGAGCCCTTGACAGGATTTAAGATCCTCATTCCAGCCAGTGTGGAGGATGGATTGGGTGAGTCCTGAAGCAGGAAGCTCCAGCTCCTTGGAGGCTGTTGCAGCAATTCAGGAGAGGATGGTGGCAACCAGTGCTGTGGCAGTTGGGGTTGGGGTAGCTAGAGTGGCTGGATTCCAGAGATTTTCAGGAAATGGAATCAATAGGACATGAGGAGAGATTGAATTTGTAGGGGGTGACAGAGGAAAGTAAGAAATAGGTCAGTCTCGGTGGCTCATGCCTGTAATCCCAGAACTTTGGGAGGCCAAGGCAGGAGGATCACGTGAGGTCAGGAGTTCAACACCAGCCTGGCCAACATGGTAAAAGTCCATCTATACTAAAAATACAAAAATTAGCTCAGCATGGTGGCGCACGCCTGTGATCCCAACTACTGGGGAGTCTGAGACGCGAGAATTGTTTGAACCCGGGTGGTGGAGGTTGCAGTGAGCTGAGATCGTGCCACTGCACTACTCCAGCATGGGCAATAAAGTGAGACTCTGTTTAAAAAAAAAAAGAAGAAGGCCGGGTGCGGTGGCTCAAGCCTGTAATCCCAGCACTTTGGGAGGCAGAGGCAGGTGGATCACGAGGTCGAGAGATCGAGACCATCCTGGTCAACATGGTGAAACCCCGTCTCTACTAAAAATACAAAACATTAGCTGGGCATGGTGGCGCGTGCCTGTAATCCCAGCTACTCAAGAGGCTGAGGCAGGAGAATTGCCTGAACCCAGGAGGCGGAGGTTGCGGTGAGCCGAGATCGCGCCATTGCACTCCAGCCTGGGTAACAAGAGCGAAACTCCGTCTCAAAAAAAAAAAAAAGACAAGAAAAGAGAGAAAAAAGGAAGTCCTCAGTATCTCAACATGGGGCAGAATGAAGGGCTAGTATTAGGGTGAGTGTGATGCCAGAGCCTGCCCGTCTCCTCCCAGCAGTGCTCTTGAGTCAGGGACTGGGACCCCCATGTGAGGGAGTGGCGAGGAGCCAAGCTCTGTTCTTACCACAAGCACGAAGGTGGTGCTCTCGGCTCTGCGTTCTTCCCAAGCCAGAATTTGGAGGGTGGGGAACCTAGAGGTCAGTAATAGGAGGCCTCTAAGAACTTGAGAGCTTTCTCCTCACCCGGGAACTCCCCCTTCCCCTGCCCCCTTCTTAGCCCAGAGGCTCAGAGGCCAGTCTCAGTCATCTGGAGTGGGCCTCTCTCCTCATCTTGGAGGTTCGAGACCAGGTCAAACCTCGGGAGTTTCTTTTAATAATGAATCTTATCCAGAAGGTATCTAAACCTTCATTGATCCTCTATGTGCTTTCATGGCTCAATTAAACTCGCATTTACATGTAAATTAGCATTTATTTTCTCCTCAAGCTATCTCTATCAAGTTAAGCGATCTCACAATTAGCGCATCATTGAATGTCAGCACTGAAAGGAACTTAGAAATAATTCAGGCCAGGTGCTATGCGTGGCTCACACCTGTAATCTCAGTTTGTGTGGCTGAGGCAGGAGGATCACTTGAGCCAAGTTTGAGACCAGACTGGGCAACATATTGAGACCTCATCTCTATAAAAAAAAAAAAAAAAAAAAAAAAAAGTGGGGCAGGCCGGGCGTGGTGGCTCACGCCTGTAATCCCAGCACTTTGGGAGGCTGGGGCGGGTGGATCACGAGGTCAAGAGATCGAGACCATCCTGGTCAACATGGTGAAACCCCATCTCTACTAAAAATACAAAAATGAGCTGGGCATGGTGGCACACGCCTGTAGTCCCAACTTCTCAGGAGGCTGAGGCAGGAGAATTGCTTGAACCCAGGAGACAGAGGTTGCGGTGAGCCAAGATCGCGCCATTGCACTCCAGCCTGGGTAACAAGAGCGAAACTCCGTCTCAGAAAAATAAATAAATAAATAAATAATAAAAATAAAAATAAAAAAATTAGCCAGGCATGATGGTGGGCGCCTGTAATCCCAGCTACTCGGGAGGCTGAGGCAGGATAATCGCTTGAACCCAGGAGGCAGAGGTTGCAATAAGCTGATTGTGCCACTGCACTCCAGCCTGGGCAACAGAGCAAGACTCTATCTCAAAAAAAAAATATAGCATGACAAGCATGGTGGTGTGCGCTGTTGTCCTTGCTGCTTGGGAGGCAGAAGTGGGACGACTGCTTGAGCCCAGGAGTTCAAGACTGTAGTAAGCTATGATTGCTCACACCACTGTTCTCTGCCCTGGGCAGCAGAGTGAGGCTCTGTCTCAAAAGAGGAAAGAGAAAGAAAGGAAGAAATAAGTTTAGCATGAGCCTGTTTTACAGGTGAGAAAATGGAGTGACTTCCCAAAGTTACATAATTAGGGACCAAAATGGGGCCACACTTTCCAGGGATTTGATACCCAGATACCCAATTTCACTTTCTCTGTATTCCTCTCTACCATATGAGACATTATCAGCTTTGGAGTCTCCCCCTCAAGTAAGGCTCTCTGGGCTCTGGAATCCATCCTCCTCCACTTACCCCCTACCCACCTCTTTCTGTTCCCTCCCATGATACAGCAACCAGACTGTACAAAAAATTCCAGATGCAGAACAGATGTCATTCCCAGGCAGGCCTGGGGGCTCCCAGCTCCCAGAGTGGGAAGGGGAGGAGTAAGCTTGGCTCTGAGAGAGAGGATCCCAGCCTGGTCAGAGGTGGGTGACA